CCTGCCGTCGTACTGTCATCTGCAGTGCGACGACTCACCGGCCGCCGTCATCCTCCTTGGCCACATCCGTCATTTGAGTCCTTTGCTGGTGGTGCTGCGTCAACATCAGTGTTCTCATCCTTCTTACTGCAACAGCATTGTTTGATCTTCTCTACAAGAGCGATCACCCCTTTAACCAGTAATCAACACATTTGTAATTGTTTTTTTTTTTTTTTTGTCTCTCTTGGAACCTTAACTATTTACAACACATCGCAGCGAAACAAGGAAGAACGAAAAAAACGCACATTTACATCACAAATAGCAAAATGTAAAAAGAAAAAAGAACAATAAAAAAATACATGGCATCTGGCCAAGTAAAGTAGAATCTATATATGTTCTTTCTCTCAACTCTCAACTAAAGCTCGTGATAGACAAAATTTTCATCCACACCAACCAAGTTTTGCAGAGAGGTAGCACCTTGATTCATAAAAACAGGAATCACACCACGTCGTGCTGCCCATTCTCGTTTAACGGTGAGAACATCCTCGTCAGCAACAATCTCCACAACATCATCGTCTTCTTCTTCTTTATCTCCATCTTGACCTGATGCCATCCGCTGCAACATTTGACCATGGTAATCTAACTCCCAGCCAGAAACAACCCTGGAAAGTAAGTTTAACTGGTAGTCAACATTTCGTGGATCAATAGAGCCTTGTAAAGAAGACATGGAGAGACATTTAAGTTTGGACTCCTTGAAAGCATTACGCAGTTTTTCTTGCTTAATACTCACAATATCTCCCGCTTCTGTAATAGGGGCAACATCTTCATTTAAAGAAGTAGTGAATTCATTCTCAGATTTTTCATCAGGGCGAAATTCCATAATGCGACATGTGTATCCTTGATCAACGAGAAAAGCTGTACGATGGGCGGCGTAGGCCATCTCCACGGTATCGGTACTGATAACTGTATAAAACCATGCGTCTACTATCTTTCCATTACTTGCTCTGGCTTTAGGACGTAATATTCTACCGAGTCGTTGTGCCTCTTGTCGTCGACTACCACCATGACTAGAGACCTGAATCACAACATTTGCACTGGGGAGATTGACACTGACGTCCCCCACACGAGACAAACAAATAACATTTAATTTTGATGTACTTTGAAAATCTGAAAAAACCATTAATCGTTCACGATGAGGTGTCTCTCCGCAAATCACAGGAGCCCTAAGAAGATTTCCATATTCTTTTAATAACATGAGATGATCGCAAAAAACTAGTATCTTTGATGATTCAGCAACATGTCTTTGTACAAGTTCAAGAACACATAACATTTTATTGGGATTTGCTGCAGCCAACATAACGAGTAATGGCATCTTGCGTTGTTGCAAGATTTGATTCTCTCCACTACGTTCCATGTATTCAAGACTAAAATGACGTGTTAGTGGTGTTAGAATTTCTATACAAGTCACATTTGCTAGATATCCACTTGATGCCAATGTTTCCCAAGAAACATCATACAATTTCGGTCCTACAAGATGGAAAAGATCTCTTATTTTTGAATCTTCTCGCACATAAGTAGCTGTTAGTCCAACCACTCCTTTAGCATCAATAAGACTTAAACTTTCCTTATATGTCTCAGCTGGCATAACATGAACCTCATCCATAATAAGAAGACCATATGGCTGAAACAATTTTTCTTTTGGATTAGGTCGCCGTCTCTTTTGTTCTCCACCTTTAGTGGTATCACCTGTACGATTCATATGACGACGTATTTGAGTTTTATGGGCTGTTACGAGCATACTGTATGTAGTGAGAACGATATCGGTATCATCTGTGATTTCGTCCTTTTGTTTACCAGTTAAACAAGCAATTCGTGCCGCTCCCTCTAGTCTAGACTTGTGTTTCTCAGTGGAAACAGTCTCATCATCTGTATGAGGAGCAAAAATACTAGCAAATTCCAATATTTGATTTTTCCACTGTTCAACACTTACACTTCCCGCACATAAGATTAATGTTGGTTTCTTAACCTTACAAAGTAACATGATACCTACAAGTGTTTTACCTGCTCCACAAGGAAGAACAATACAGCCACTCCGTAGAGAACCATCAGATGCAGCGGCGTTAACAGCATCAATTTGGTATGGACGTGGTTTCGTCTGTGTCCTTAACATAATATTGACACTTCGAATACTATCATCCTTTTCATAATCATATTGTTGCTGAAGTGGGAAACCCAAGAAAACGCAACGTTCCGCGACAACTCTCGCCACTGCTCTACTACGTAGAAGGAAATAGGGAAGCACACCAGCTTCAAGAACAACTTCATGTGGTTCAGCTGAAAGTGATTGCACAACAGGATCTCCAAGTAGCATTTCAGCAATTTCAACGGTTTCACACTCCACTAATGTTCGTTGATCCTCAATAACTATACGAGCAAGGTTGTAACGACTCATACATGTCTCTATAAAGTCACAAACATGGGTACGTCGTGTTTCTAACTTTTTATCGAGAAATCCATAGACATAGGTATCCAAAAAATCCACTACTTCGGATGCTGGTACACTGGAAGATACGGCTGTACCCAATGAGAAGGGTGTCATGCGGTATTCATGCATTAGTGAGGGACGTGAAGTTGGCTCCGCTATAGTGGTGAGGAATGGTCGAATTGCAGAAAAGGAACTGCGGAACGCCTCACCAAGGAGTACCACATAACCCTCGGTGGAAATGCGATCCTCTAAAAACAGGCACTGCATTGCAAATCTTCACCCCTAGACATAATTATGTAGTTTACAAGAAAGGTCCAATGGGGAGAAACTAAATAAGCATAGAGGGTGGTAAAAAAAAAAAAATAATAATAATAAATAAAAAAATAAATTCCAATACTGTTATTGATGCAATTTTTGATTTTTATTCATCCTTTTACATTCAACGATTACTACTAGTAGTGGACAAACACCCTATCAGATTACCTTTCATTTTATTTTTATGTTTTCCTACCTAAATGACTATAATAATATGAGAGCGAGCTCGTTCACCACACCAGTTCACCATTAAAGAAGAAAAAAAAAATACAAAGAAAAAGAAGAGAAGAAAAAAAAAAGATAAAATGTTTCTTGCATAATGAACATAAAGAGGGTTTTCATCATATTTAGTTCCCATTTTTAGACTTTAATATATATATTTTCTTTCCTGTTATTGTTCTTGTTATTTAATGATATTTTTATCAAATAAAAATCAAAACCAAATAAAAAAACGTACCACGTGCGAATTACTCCTCTGGGTGCCATGCGCCCTTGACGGCCCTGCTACCGCGAATACGTCCAGTGCGGCGGGCGGCGATGAGACCGACCTTCTGTCCTGGTGGAGCATTGCGGGACACCGTTGAGGGGTGACCAATGTGCTGATGGTTACCACCACCATGGGGATGCTCGACTGGGTTACGGGCCACACCACGGACCTTGGGCCAGCAGTTGCGCTTGCCGCGGAAGCGGTAGAAGGAGTTACCGGCCTTCAGCACTGGCTTCTCAATACGGCCACCGCCAGCGATGATACCGATCATGGCACGGCAGCTGCTGGGGACAGTCTTCTTCTGTCCGCTTGGCAGCTTCAGGCGGGTGCGGCCTGTCTCGTGGTTGTGGGAGATGATGATGCAGTAGTCACCTGAGGCGCGGGCGATGGTGCCGCGGTCGCCGACCTTTGCCTCCACGTTGCACACAATGCAGCCCTCCGTGATCTGACCGAGCGGCAGGACGTTGCCAATCGCCAGGGGCGCCTTCACACCGCAGAGCATCGACTGGCCAGTGAACATACCCTCCGGGGCCACCATCAGCTCCTTCACGCGGCGGTACTTGTACGGGTGGCGGAACTCCACACGGGCGAGTGGGGCTCCACGCCCAGGCTCGTGCTCAATGGTCTTCACAACACCGCGCATAAAGCCGTGGCGCTCGGCGTAGTCGAGAATACGGAGCTTGGCGGGTCCGAGGCGCTTGTGGCCGTGCACCTGGTACACAGACCCGTTACCCTTACGGCAGCTGAGAATAGTCTTACCCATCCTTCTGTTTTCCTTCTAGCGGAGTAGCACGCTGCAAGAAGGGAGAAACACAATAATAAATAATATATACATATAAAGGTTTAGATGAGGAAGAAATAGAAGAAAAAGCATAGGCATGTGAAGATTAATCAAGAAGAAAGAGAAACAAAAAAGAAATGCAGGAAAAAAAAAACATTTACGATAAAGCTGAACAAAAGGTTGTGTACATAAAACACTGCGAAGCAAAAAAAAAAAGAAGAACAACGAGTAAACTGAATCCATCACTCCATTCTGGAAAAAAAAAAAATTCTACTCATAATACTGGGGGGGTAGCAGACTCATTCCCTAAATACTCGATCTACTACACTTGAGCTTTTAGTGCCCCTTATACTCGGTACTCAGAGGAAAAATTACAATTTCACCTTTTTTCTTTTTGTTATTCCCTTTCTTCACATGGACTAAATGCACAATCATCTACTTCAATATTGTACGAAACGGTTCTTTCTTCAGCTACAACTGAAATTAGTGGAAAAGTAAGTTGAGAGTTTGCCTTCGCCATTTCCTTCCGAAAGAGCTCAAAATCTTCAATTGAGGCAATATAGAAACCAAAAGCCATGGATGTATCACAGGATGTTATTGATATCATCCGACGTGCGCTCGTTAATGTCCCTGTGCTTTCTGGTGATGTAAAAGCACGTTGAGTATAGTGTGGGTCCAAGTAGAAAACCTTATTCCCCTGGTGTCCATATAAAAAAAGTGCGGAGGAACGACGTCCACCAATGATACCAATGGAACTTTCCATCTCAAGAATCTGCAATACTACCTTTGCGTACTTTTCCGATATGAAACCCACTCCCACCATTAGTGGAATGAGCAAAACCACATGCTTAGAATCTTGTAGAAGATTCATTACCTGTTTGGAAATAATCATTCTATCAGAGACAGTAAGTATCACTGGCCCTTCCCCTACAGTAGACAAATAACGTGAACTAAGAGAACTTAGCGTGTTCGAGAGAGGTGTTGGTCCAAACCACTTACCGCATGGAACACCATGTTTCACACCTTCTGATGATATAGCATGAATCCCAAATGGGGCTGATGGTACGTCAGAAAATAAAAATTGGACCTTTTCCCTTAATTCCTGTGTATGTTCATCATCAATGTGAGCCTTACCACCATTAAAGAAACGCATAAAAGCACACGCAATCATCATTTGTCCTGATCGAATCATACATCCCCAAGAAGTATCCATGGTTGCACCATTCTCCAAGGGTTCAAAATGGTCGCGATAAGAGTAGTAAAGAAACCTTTTGGTCTCACTATGTGCCCACTCTGAGGTTTGGGTCCCATTATATTTACCAACACCAACAATATACGCATCTTCATTGTCCATCAACGCTTCGTTTTTCGGTTGCAAACGGTATACAAGATTGTACACCCACTTGAAAGCACCACTACTGGCACAACTAGACCCTCTAGAGACACCAGAGCTATTATCCCCATGCTTCATAGCAGGTGATAGAATGATAAAACTAAACTAATTAAAGGAAAAAAAAAAAACAGAGTACTGATGAAAATAACAAGACAGGGGACACATGGCTCATCTCATTTAAGAGAAGTAGTCGAGTGTTCTACAATTAATAACCCACCACTAGTACCACTAAAAAAAAAAAAAAGATTAAATCGATCTGGTCCATAAACAGCAACCTAATATCTTTCCAAATTCTTTACCCCTGTGAGAGAGGACAGGATGTTACAAACCCCATACTATCACCTGCAACAAACATCCCATTACCCAAAACAGTCCCGCAGTTCAAAATTGAGTGTTTACCAGTACTCTCTCGAACGCTGTGTGCCAAAATGAGAGGAGGAAGATCACCTTCTTCCACTTCTTCCTCTGAAGGTTCCTCTTGCAGTAGTGCGAGTACATCCCAAGCGGAGACCTCACCGCAGAGAGAACCAGTAAGAAGATGACCGCTAGAAGTCCAAGAAACAAAACAAAGCCCATTAGAGGCATGGCCAGGGGCTGCAAGAACTTCTGTAAGAGAGCCATCATCATCTATTGTAGCAATAGAATACATCCCATTTGCTCTTCCAATAGCAACATAGTCCTCAAAAAAGCTACACGTTGTCGGAAAGGGTGGGTTCACAAACTGACCATCAACTGCAATCAGGTCATCCATGATAGAGAAGTTTACAGAAGGAAGTAATGGGTCTGTGTAGAGGGCACCGTTGCCATCCATCCCAATAACAGACAAAATTGAATTGCCATTATTTCGAATAAAACCAAAAGCACAACAATAATTCGATAATGAACCAAATGATGGTTCTGAGAGATTCTTTTCCACACCAAAATACCGTTCCGAAAGACACGTTGTCGGTGCTCCATTTTTCACATCAAATGGAAAAATGGCGCCCTTCTCGTCTATAATAAGAGTTGAAGTGGCTCCTATTGGATGTGTACCATTTAGGAATACCACAGTTTCAGAGGAATGTTTGTAGCACTGAAGTACGGATTGCTGACGAAGGTCATACAAGGTAACAGTATCATCAGCCAAAACAGCAGCTATATGTAAATCTGATGCCAACATTAGTTCCGTGGCTTCTCCCATATTTTTCTTTCCTGAATCACAGCTATCCGTATAATTATTATTATTATTATTATTATTATTATTATTATTATTATTATTAGTCATGTGTACGTAATCTTTTCGTTTCAGTCGGGTGTCCCACAATGACACAACCCCAACGCTGTCAAGTGCCGCAAAACCGCTTGGTGTTGTTGCCGATGCGGCAAGAGACATGAGACTATGCCTCCCGCTTCCCAAGATCTCCATTGGTTGCTATACATGATATAATAGAAGAAGTGATTATAAAGAAAGAAAGAAAGAAAAGGAAAGAGAGTATAATTTTAAACTTCTCTGAGTGTTCGTTTTGTTCGTTACATAATCGCAGAAGCAGACGTAAACAGATATACACCTCCCAGTGAGACACAAAGCAGTGCAAGATAAATGTCAATGACCTTTAAACCCCTAGAGTAGAGAGAGAAATTAAAAAAAAAAAAAAAAAATCTCACACACCAAATACAAGAAAGAAAGAAAAAAAGAAAAAAACAAATAGCCGCGGCTCAAACAAAACCAGGAGTAATAAAACGGTGGGCAGAAGATCTATTGCCACTCCACCAATCTACCTCTTGTTTACCTTCTACTTGCCCTATAAAGTACGTATATAAATAATGATGCGGTCAACATAAATAGAAAAGGTATTTCTTTTCCTCTTTTTTTTTTTTTGCCTGCATCTATCTTGTAAACACTTGAGAATTTGTTGAAAATACCATCCAAATAAAAAAATGAGAGAGGTGAAAACCCAAAAGAACCAATATCGTACTCTCTTTGATACTCATTTTCCCTGCTCTTAACCATGTAGTGGTAATCAGAGCAACCAAAAACCACAACCAATACACATATATAAATATATTTTTATGTACGAAGAAATGGCATAATTCATATAAAAAACAAAACAAAACAGAATAAAAATCAAATACAGAGACAGAATTGAATTTCTTACTATTATTTCTAATTGGTACTACCTGGATGATTTCACTACTTCTTTCATATAGAAACAGACACACGACGCACATTATTGTTGCGAAGAATGTTGTAAATAGAAGAGTAGGGATACAGAGATGTAAATGATGTCTGTTACGAAGCAGGAGGGAAAATCAGTCGAACAGCCTCATCCACATTCCCGCTGGTTCGCCGCAGTGCCCGCTTTGCGTTTTCCTTGGAAACCCCAAGCTTCACAATTTGCTGCACTTGTTCATCAAGTGAGGTCCACTTGCCATTTTTTCCATTTGGTGGTTTCTCGCCAATGTGTTTGGCAACACCGCCTTGAAGGAGACGAGCGGCTGCCTTCTGCACATCACCGCTGTAGTGTGTGAGTGCCAACACGGCGTGTTTGCGTGGATATCCCAACTCCACCAATTTGTTCAGCTTCGAACTGAAGTCTGCCTGCATCATCACGCCGTGCTTTGCCTCCTCCACGGCGGCGTGGAGATTCACTTTGCCAATCGTACTCTGCAGCCGCTCCAACTTCACCCGCTGCGACTGTTCGCGCAGCATCTTGTGAGTGACGGCGGCCACCTCCGCGTCGGTCATGCCGTGATGTTTCAGCGTTGCCTGATCGCACTGCGACAACTTCTCCACCGTCGTCACACCATCACGCACAAGACTTTCAATCGCGGATGGACGCACCTCCGCTTCTGTCATGATGCGCATAAAGGTCGATGGCAAGGCGCCGTCCACACACTGCCTTTGCATATCAGCAACGGCGGCAAGAGATTCCTCACGTTTGGGGAGATACAGAACCACATCAATAAGAGTGGAGATATCCATCATTGGGAACAGAGTAGCGAGGGTTTCCACCCACTCCAAATGTTCCGCTGTAATTCCTGTTTCTGCAATCTCCGACGCCCTGCGCTCGCGTTCTTCCTTCGCAAGTCGCAACTCTTCACGTCGACGTTCTTCAGCGATACGTTTAGCCTCGCGATAGGCGTAAACCCATCGGAGTAGGAATGGAATACAGCGTCGCATAAGCCAACCTTTACGACGTAATAATAACCGCTCCAGTGATGCCCATACTTCCGCACGAACAAATACCTTGGTTCGCCCAACAGCATAATTAGGCGTTTTCCAGTTGTACAGTTTTTGATAAGAAGAGAGGAGATTCTCAGCAGCCGCATGAAAATTTCCAGCCTTGTACAACTTTACTGTTGATCGAAATGCAATAAGATAGAAATAACGACAGAAAGTTTCAATAAGACGACGTACTGGGTAACCTTGACGTTTTAATGCAATGGTCTGTAACACACCTGCTGATTCCAATTGACTTCCAACAAGATCATTCTCTAGTATGTCAGATCTTGCTTCCATATTAGGTTTAATACATCGAATAAATTGCGTTTCTGTTGATTCCAACTCGACACGTAGTGCCGCAAGTTGTTGCTGAAAGCGAAGTGCCACTGTTTGCTTGCGTCTGTCAGCCATCACATTTTCTGGCATTAAGGTTCGAATAAATTCATCACCAGATTTAAGAATACATTGATAAGCCTCTTCCTTCACACGGTCTGTATTTTTTTCCAACCACTCTTCTGTATTGTAGTTCACTAATGCCGCATAGTGATTCACACCAAATTGATTTGGTACCGTACTCTTGGGTTGTACAAAATACTTATTCTTATTTGCCCAAATATCCCATAAATTATGGGTAAAATGCTCCGATGTACCTCCCTTAAAGTGGCATTCCTCATCCAGCATAGCGAATATACCACCTTTCTTTTGATCAAACATATTTACACACTCAGAGTTGTCAGGAAAAACAATTTTAGGTATTTGAATACCTTCTCTTTTGCATTCCTCTTCATCATTAATAAAGGTATATTTGTTATAATGATTTTGAAGAGATTCATTGGCATAATTGATACAAATTTGCTCAAAACTGTTACGTTTAAAATTTTCAAACCCAAAAATATCAAGTAGACCAATATATTTGCATCCAGATACATCACCTTGTGGTTCAATGGATTTATTAACAAATTCCACAAGGCGATCAAAAAGTCCAACGTAAATGGCTTTACAAAATGCACCTCGTAATCCTTCCGCTTCTGCCTTATTAGCATAAATGGTTACAAGAGTTGAACGACTCTTAACAAGGAAGCATTCCCGAAGTAATTCTTGATCCACCTGTAGCAACTCACAGGCCGTTAGAAAAGGACCTTCATCCACAATCTCTGCCTTGTCATTTTGATCGGTTTCAAATCGTAGCTCTAGTAAGTGAAGAATACTTGCCAGTACTTTAAAGATACTCTTCTGTACAGCTGGTTTAACTCCAATAGCATTTAAAGCATAGCGTACGTTTTGAAATTCTCTTGCGTCATTTAATTGTTTACCATCAACACCACGTCTAGTAAATGTTTTTCCACCACTGAGACATTTGTAATCCTCTGCTGTCTTGAGCCCACCAAGTTCTCTCTTTTCATCTGGTGTAAGTCCTGCAAGCATTTCATAAAAGATATGGTAGTTACGCTCTCCTTCAGATTGAAGTAAGATACGACTCTTTTCAAGTAAATACGTTACGGTCTCACCTCCCACCATAACTCCAGAGCTGGTATCAAAGTAGAGTTTAATGTACTTTCCAAAGCGGGAAGAATTATCATTGCGTACGGTACGAGCATTTCCAAAGGATTCCAGTACAGGATTACTCCATTTTAAACTCTCTGCCACTTTATCAGCCACACTCTTCTGCATGGTGTTACTGCTGTGCATATAACTGATCTGGCCAAGGTATGCAATTAACATTTTAGCGTTTTCAGTTTTACCACTTCCGGATTCACCAGAAATCACAACAGATTGATTGCCAAGACCACGCAAAACAATTTGTGAATAGGCCTTGTGTGCCACTTGCCAAATATGTGGTGGTAACAAATGCGGTTCCAATGAGTTAAGGTAAAGTTCACGGTGTTTGTCGCTGTTGAATGCCATTATCTGAAAAGGATTAACACTTAACACCATTTCACCCATAAGTGAGTATTGCTGCTTTAATTCCTCAAAACGTTGTTTAATACAAAACAACGTTGTAGCCACATGTAAATCACTTAAATGAAAGAGATCAGGATCTTCTGCATCAAATGCCTGTTCCATGTATCCATGAATATCCGAAGAAGGAACAGTTTCTCTCTTCCCTGTTACGTTGTCTTCCACTGTTGTTTTCTTCTCTGCATCGAGCACCGCCACCACCACTCCACGCATCCATCCCTTCTGCGGGTGGTGATAGTACACCTGCTGATTCAACACCACACGCTCCATTGCTGAGTTTTTATTGTCGTACGTCAATTTTTCTTATTTTTTTTTTTTTCTTCCCTATTCTTTCTATTCTACTTGTTTTTGTTGTTGATGATGTTATTGTTTTTTTTTTTTTTT